TGTTTAAAAAAGAAAAAATAATTAATTAATTAAATTTTTAAAAAATTAAAAAAGGATTCTAGAGCAGCACATAGGAGGGAGGGGCTCAGGGTAAGAACATTTAGCAACCGAAAGAATGTAAAGTTATCTGTTGAAAATGATATATATGGGGGCCGGCAGGTGGCTTGGTGGTTAAGGGTGCTGGACTCCCACAAGGCCGACTGTGGTTCGAGTCCTGGACCTGGTGGCTTGCTTGCTTTCTCTCTCTCTCTCTCCCCCTGCCTCTTTGGTCAAATTGAAATAAATGAACAAATAAAGTTAAAGAAAATAATTTAAAAAAAGAAAATGATATATATGGTAATATCTTTGAGTTGGCTGACATGCATGCATACTTAGAAAAACCATATTGTCTACTGAAAAGATGTACAATGATTAAATGTAAAGTTTTTAAAAATTACCGGAAAGATGTACAGTACTTCAGCCCAACACTATTAAAAGACTGGGTCAAAAGTAACGCAATAAAATTAAGCATTTGAACATTTGAAGTTGCAGAATAAAAGTCTCAGAAAGGCCAAAGCATGATCATAAACTCACCTGATGTTTAACTGGAAATGTGTATTTTACCCATGTAGCTTGCTGCATTGTTTCTTCCTCTTCTTGTTTTTTTTCTTTTTTTTTGACTTTCTCCTTTTCTTCCCTTTCAATTGATGTCATCCTATGCAATCTAAGAATACACAGAAAGATAGAATTATATTTAATTTTGAAAAACGAAGAGAAAACATAAAGTACAATATTTGGAAATTAGGATACAATACCAAAGACTAGTTAGTTATAACCCCACAACCCACACAATCCCAAGTGACAAAAATAAGTAGCTGTCCAATTCCTTAACAGGAAATCAAAGAGTCCAAAAATAGCAAAAAGGAAACTGGTGGCCTTTCAACATGTCTCCCCATAACACATACTTGGGATTGATTCCTCACACATTTCACGAGTATATCAACACTTATTTATCTCTTTACATAGCTAATTATATATTTACAAGAAGGTTATTATTGAGAGTATACACAACTATAATTACTTTTTCTTTTTTGCTAAAGGGCACGTGCACTTGACAGAGAGATAAACAGAGAAACAGAAAGCGAGAAATCACTCCCCACGGGGGACGGCCACACCGCATCCATTCTCCTCCATTCTCCTCTTGGGATCTTAGACACACACACGTGCCCAGCGTGAGTTTAAGTCAGTGTGGGTCCAGGACTCACACTGCAGTCGACTATGTGAGAGTCCAGAGACATAGCCATTATGCCAACCACTGGTCCCCACAAGTACAATTTCTAATCAATGAATAATTGTACTAGAAGATCCTTCCATATCAGAATATATATATCTTTTTAAAGCATTAAAATATACACAACTGCATGAACATACTAGAATTTATTGAACCAGTTCCTTTTTAAGAAGTACTTTGTTTTCACCTTTTTCTTTTCAAAAAAACAGAGACCAACACTCTAAGAAGTTTTATTTTAACAGCCAGTATCTCTGATTCTCACCAACACTAGGGATTCTAAAGCCTTCAGAGGGTCCAACATCCATAGAGAAAGGTGCTCAGAAGAGGAAAGGTCGGCAAGGAAAGTCCACAGTGGTCTCCATCATTAGACAGAAGGCACGACTCTCTTCTCAGACAGTAAGTTATCACTGTACCCACTAGTAAGGGCTGGCCTGTGCTATGGGGCTACAGTTAGGTGATTAGACTAGATTTTCATGAGTAGGATTATTTCTCATAAAGAGACATGAACCAAAACTTGCAAAGAGAGGAACTCTAGAACCTGTGGTTCTAGAAGAAACTGCTTTTATCACACCCTAACTAGATGCAGCCAATTTCTCATGCACAGCTACGTGGAAAGAACAGAGACCTTTTGTCAACTTGGGGTAATACTGTTGGCAAGGTGTGTCGAAGGATTTTTTTTTTTTTTTAATTTCCATCTCCTTCACCACCAAAACTGCCTGTATCTCCCTCTTCTCAATTTTCTTTTTTTCTGACAGATTTTTAGCTACAGGGTGTTTGCACTCGCCAGAGATAGAGAAAAACAAAAGACAGGAAGCAAGAAATCACCCCCTGTGGTGCAGTGGTTAATTACAATGTATTAGATGTCTGATCTCACATGGGTGACTGGTTTGAATCCTGGCCCTGAGGCTTCAAAGACATACTGAATACCCGTGCACGCCTCTAATCCTGACGGGATGGAGAAAGGAAGGAGAAAAGACTACGGTATGACCATGCCCTCTTTGAGAGATGGTGTGTTTTTTCTCTCTGGGAAGTGTACATGCCATCTGAATATTTTTTAGAATATGCTGAGACTGGAGTTAGATTGTGGCTTGAAGATTGTGTTGGGAGTACTTGTGTCTGTCTTTCTTTCGCTGCCTGTCAAAGAGAGAAATAAACTATTAACAAGTTAGGATAGGGGCCAGCAGGTGGTGTAGTGGTTACACCACTGGCTTCCACATGCCTGGTCACGGTTCGAGTCCCAGACCCAGTGGCTTTAAACTCACACTGGGTGCATGTGCTTGCTTGCCCAAGAGCCTCAGGAACATGCTGTTCCAGACTGGGGGGCACACAGAGCAGCAGGTTTTTCTTCCACACTTCTCTGGAACACACAGCCAGATCGTAAGAACGAAGGGAACTGCAATGCCATGTCTAATTTCCTGTGGCACTCAGGGTTTTACTGCGTGTTTCACTATTCCACTCAAAGCTATAATAAACAACATTTTATGTCTTTCTTGGTAGACCACGGAGCCACCTTCTAGTTTCCGCAATGGTGGGATGGCTGAATCTAAAAGTTCTTGCCCTTAAAATGCTGACAAATTGCTCTTTAGAACTGTACATGTCACACTACCAGCATCGGTAAAGCCACCCTGCCTTCCCATACTTCATTTTAAGCTGAGTTAGTATCGAACTTTCAAACTGTTAGCCCAACGGAGAGGTAACAAATACTACCCCATTGTTTTTAATTATGAGATAAGTCATTGTTTTTGTGTCTACTGGCCTTTCGTATTTATTTTTCTGCAAAATGCCTGTTCAAATCCTTTGTCTTGTTTGTACCGGACTATTAGTCCTTTCATTTATAAAAGGTCTTTGCCAATTAAGGAAATTTTCCATTTGTGGTACAAATACTTTTCCTCAGTTTGTCATCTGTCTTTGAGTATGATTACAACAATTTTTTCCACTCAGAATTTAAAATATATGTATCCACTTTTTCCTCTACGGCATCTGGGTTTTACATCTGTTTAAAGAGAAAGTATCACAACAAAAACATAAATTAATTCATGCTTGTTGAAATTTCATCTTGCTTTCAGGTGTTTGATTTGTTTTTGTTTTTAATGTCCATCAATCTGAACATTTTTGCGAAGGAAGGGATATAAGTGCTACTCTGCCCCAACCCCGCTGTATTTCCCTTTCTGGTGTGTGATAACGCCAAAGTCAAATGCCCACATGTGTTCAGATCTGTTTCTAAATTCTCCATTCCATTCAAAGGCTCTGCTGCTCTATTGGACAAATTATCTGATTATGGTACCTTCAAAATATGTTCTAACACTTATTCCCTTTTTCTCTAACACCTATTTCCCATTTTAGCTACTCTTACATGTTAATTTTTGTACCTGAAATATTGGGTTGTCAGAAAAGGCATGATCCGTATTTTTCAACCAACCATGCAGTATTAGTTTCATGTAGGTCGAGCCTCCCTCTACATCCTGGAGGGAAAATCCTATTAAAACTATAAAGTAGCTTTTTTGAAGTAAGTTTTAAAGATTGCTTTACACAGGTCCTAAATATTTCTCATTAGATGTATTCCAAAGTATCTGAGGGCTTTTCTGGTGGTTACTGCTGGGATGTCTTAAATTTAAAAAATAAAAATACACACATAGATACACACACACACACACTACAATCAGGTTAAGAAAAAGAACCTGATCAATGACCAATACATCAGAAGCTTGTGTTTCCCTGATAATCATTACCCTGACCTTGTTAATCATTCCCTTGCTTTTCCTTACAGTTTTTGTTTCTGTATGTGTTTGTTTTTGAGACAAGACGCACCGCCTACGTGTGTATCCCAGATAACTCCAAGTTGGGCTTCTGAAAACTCAGTAGCAAGCATAAATGTAGGTGCATGAGCCAAAGAGCAACACTGTCACTATTAAGAAGGTTTCCCAGAAAACACACACTCGTCTCTCGGCCACAGACTAGCTTTAGCTTTCGTAAAAGTTTAGAACAGCCTCTGTTATTGAAATCAGTGGGTAATGTTGTGCACAAGCCCTGGAAAGCACAGGGCTCCTGGCAAACAGGATACTCGGCAGGACTGCCGTGTTACAACAGGGATGATCCAGACATGACTGCTCTGGGTCTCCTGCATTGGGGCCTTCTGAGGGTTCTACGGCATAAATGGGGAGAATCTCGGTTTTCCGACTGATGCAATTTTGGCATTGTGGCCTCTGGGCAGGTTACCATTTGACCATCTGCACTACTGCTTCACCAATTTTACTGCTATTTTTCTGCTATTCCTCCATCTTTGTGGGTTTATAATTAAAAAAAAAAAAAAGTTATAGTTTTTTTTTTTTTGGAGAGGTTTTTTACTATAGGGTGTGTGCTCACCAGGCAGACAGAAAGAGACAGAGAGACAGAAAGCGAGAAATCACCCCCCCACCCCCCCAGGGAGGATGGCCACAACACAATCCCTTCTCCTCCATTCTCCTCTCAGGACCTTGGGCACGGACACACACGCGCCCGGTGTGAGTTTTAAGCCACCGGGTCCGGGACGCGAACCGCGGTCGATTACGTGGGAGTCCAGCGACATAGGCATTACACTAACTGCTGATCCCAAAAAACATTGTCATAGTTTTGATGGAGTTCAGCAAGAACTCATTTTCTACCAAGGTTACTGTTTGTATACAGGAAAGCTATTGTTCAGTGTGCTGTCCAATTTAATTGTCATATGCCCTTTTCAGTTCATCATGAGTCCATTTCTGGGGGGTTTTCTAAGTATATAATCAGATCAACTATATAACTGTGCTTATAGCCTACCAATATTCATGTGCTTCACTTTTCTAGGCAAACTGCATTGGCTACCACTGTGTTCGGTTCCACCTGAATGTTAACAGGAAAGCTTCAATGTTTCACCAAAAAGCATGATGATCTGATGGCAAATATATCTTTACTAAAAAGAAAACAAAACCACTATATATTCCCAAAACCAAAAGTTTTTTTTTTTTAAAGAATAATGAACTAACATCAATACTGTCTTAGCATCTCATGAGATGATCAAAGTTTTCTTTCCTTGACTTTGGTATTAACAATCTCCTAATAATGAACAAGTCTTCCAGGCCTAGTGTGAAGCCAATTAGGCTAGGCTTTATTATTCTTTTAATCAACTCCTGAATATATTTACTAATGTTTTTTAAGATTTCTTGTACACACATCTATTTTTTATTAATTATTAATCAGTGACAAATGCTAATAGAAAAGAGGGACCATAATTTTCTATTTATCAAGTTTTATATGTTCTGTACTATCAAAACCTGCAAGCTTTCCTTCTTTTTCTGTTCCAGTGGAAAAGGTGAAATAGGATTATCTGGCTCCTAAAGTTTGAGAGAAAACAACCTTAGGAAATAATCTGGGCCTGTGCATCTTCTTACTGACAGGCACCATGGGGGATGAGCACAGGAGTGCAGGGACGAAGGTCAGTGTAGTGCCTGGCGGGTAATGACTGGAATCACTGTGGACCCTCCTTCCACACCCTTCCTCAGCCGAAGACCTGACCGGCCCCCTTCTCTGAGGATGACTCACGCCTAAAGAGTATATATTAGTGAACCCCATGAAGGCATTAGAATTTCCACTGTGAATGAGAGACAATCAGAAATATTGGTGAGCATGTCCCCTTTATTATTCTTGATATTGATTATTTGTCCTTTCCTTCCCCCCCTCAATAATCATATCAGAGATTTATAAATTATAATGGTACCTAAGGTATGTTTATTTTCTATTTCATCCAATCTGCCTTTCAGTATTTCCTTTCTTTGGGTTGACTCCTTGAGATGTACATCTAGCTAATTACTAATACAAAGAGTTTCTAATGTCAACACTGGGGTGAGTAATTTTCCTAGGCACTCTTCAACCATATCCCACAAATTGTAATGCATATAGTAGTTTCACAAACATTCAGACCAAAAGATTCTGATTCCCATTATGATTGTTGATCATTCAGTTTAGTTTTAAACTTTCATAATAAATTTAATAAAAAAAAAGAGTCGACAATATTTTGTAATATTACATCGGTATATTGGCTTTTAAACTTTATAAAAATGGTATCATTCCATGTAAAACTGGATGGAAGTGTTTTCATTTACAGTGAACTTATGAGATTCAATCTTGTTGACACCTGATGCTCTATAGTTAGTTTTTCACTGCTATATAGTAGTCCATGAGGACAATAATTTAAATACACTTGATTATGGGCATTAGTGTTCATTCCCAAATTTCACCATAATGAAGTAGTATTATAAGAACATTCTTCTATGTCACCTCAGGAACACATGATAGAGTTTCTCTACAATATTAGGGTCACTAAAATGTTCTCTAAAATATTACTAATAACCATTAAGCTAACAGCTCTATTATTAGGAATGTATCAGAGTTCTCTTCCTATTATATCATATCTTTGTCAACATCCTAAAGTTATTTATTTATTTTTTGGGGAGAGGTTTTTGCTATAGGGCGCGTATGCTCATCAGACAGACAAAGAGAGACATAGAGACAGAAAGCGAGAAATCACCCCCCAGAGGGGATGGCCATGCCGCAATCCTCCTCCATTCTCCTCTCGGGATCTTGGGCACACACGCACACGTGCCCGGCGTGAGTTTTAAGCCACTGGGTCTGGGACTTGAACCGCGGTCAACTATGTGGGAGTCCAGCGACACAGCCATTACACTAACTGCTGGTCCCAACATCCTAAATTTTTTATATTCTGATGGATATGAAACAATAGTGCCTACCTTTTTTTGAGAGACAGACAGAGAGATAAAAAGTGAGAGAAATCACCCCCCAGGGGGGATGGCCACACTGCAATCCCTTCTCCTCTTGGGATCTTGGACACACACACACATGCACCGGCGTGAGTTTTAAGCCACTGGGTCTGGGACTCGGAACCTAGATCGACTACGTGAGTATAGCGACATAATCATTATGCCACCTGCTGGTTCCAATTATGCCTACTTTCAACGAGTGTTTCCTTACTAGGGAATTAAAGCATCTTTTCGTCATTCTGGGCTATTTGTGTGTCTTCCTGTATGAATTATTTTTACATCATTGGCATTTTTTTTCCAAATAATGTTATTTTTTCTCAGTGATCTATAGAATTTCTTGATATATGTGGATACTAAACTTTTAATTAAAAAAATTAAACAGGGGGGCTAGGTGGTGGGGTGGTGGTTAAAGGTACTGGACTCCCACATGGCTGACGATGGTTCCTTGCACCTTGTTTTCCAAATTTATCTTTATTATTGGCCATTTTTATATATTAATACACTTTTGAGTCATCTTATCAAAATCTACAGAAAATTTTAATTATGGTAAGTAATTAATTTTCTTCTAGGAGACAGAGAAGAAGAGAAAGAGGGAGCAAGACAGAGAAACAGCCACCCCCAACAGGGTCTTCACGCTGGGATCCACCCTAGCCATACCTAGCCAGGACCCTGATGTGCACACATGTGCCCAGCAAATACAGAAAGATCCAGGAGCAAACCAGCAACCTCCCTGTATGGCTCGGTACTGTGGAGCACTGCACGACCACTGCATCACCACGGCTGGCCTCAACTTAAAGTTTCTAAGGCTAATGAAATGAATTTATATGAGAAAAATGGACATTACGAGTTTTCCCATAAATATGAATAATATTTCCATTTATAACGTATGATGCTTTTCTATAAAAACTTTATCATTTTCTCCAAAAAATATTCTAACTTACTATTATTTTAAAAATATTCTGATATAGGGGACCAGCAGATGGTATAATGGTTATGTTGCTGGACTACCATGTAGTCAACCACAGTTCAAGTCCTGGACCCGGCTGCTTAAAACTCACACCAGGCACGTGTCAGAATGTCTCCAAAAATCACAAGAGGAAAAGGGACTACAGTGTAGCCATGCCTGGTCAACTACAGGGGAGTTCGGCAACATAATCACTGCACCATCTGCTGGTCCCCCCGGTTTAATTTTCAAACTACTAGGTCTGGGACTGGAGCTATGGTTAACCGTGTGATAATCCAGCGCCTTAACTACTATGCCACTATTTATTAACTGGTCACTGTATTTGCATTCTTTACCATAAAACTTATACTAGCTTTATGATAACAATGTTTTAAAGACTAAAGTTAAAAAAATAAAGGGCCAGCAGGTGGCATGGTGGTAAAAGACCCTGGACTCCCACATGGCCGACCATGGTCTCAGACCATAGTCTCAGACCCTCTGTCTCTTCACTCTATCCCTCTCTGGTCAAAATAGTAAACTAAATAAAATAACCCTTTTCTTTTTTTTAAAGTTAAAAACAAATCCATCAGGAGTAAAAGGAGATTCCAGACACAAATTTAATTTTTGTTTTATTTTTGCTATAAGCACATGCACTTTCCAGAGAAAAATGGTAGGAGGCGAGTAAGGAGGGTATAGGGGATTCTGAGAAATAACCCCTCAAGGAGAATGTCCACACTGTTTTCTCTTCTCCTTCATTCTCTTCTTGGGATTTTGGGCATGCAGGCATACACACATGCCTTGTGTGTTCCTCAAGCTGCTCAGTATGGGACTCAAATGTCACAGCTGGCCATGTGAGATACAGCCACCTTAACCAGCATGCCACCTGGCTGGGCCCAGTCTATTTTGGTCTACTTGGGAGCTGTGAGATCTTTGTACAGACCCTGGATACTCAGCTCCCAAATGGATGTAAATTAGAAACCTAGCATAGTGTCTGGAACATGCTAGAACAGATACTCAAAACATATCAGTGTTCCTTCTATTCAATAAAAATGCTTTTTTAAAGCATTAAAAAAAAACTTTTTTATTTAAAATATTTCAAATTTTCTTAAACCTACTCGGAGATCTTCAATACAATCCTATATCACAAATAAGAACTAATGTTCATTCGTGTTTCTACCTTATAAAGGATAAAATGAGGCCAAGAACAGTGGTGCCTTTAGCATGATCTCTTAAATACATTATCTTGCATTAACAGACTGGTATTCAAAAGGGAGTATAACATTCATCATTCAGAAGACGCAGAATCACTCACCTAGTATGTCCTAAAGACTCCCGCCATATTGGTAGCATCACAACTGGCTTAACGGCACACTCCAAAATAGCCAGAGCCAATGCAAATTCTCTGGGTTTGCTACACATCTGAACTGCCTTGATCCAATTTGCTCTATATTTCAGAGGAAAAAAATTATTTCCCTTAGTTGACCTTACAGTAAAAGCACAACAGCTACAATTCATGATAATTCCATTTTACAGTGAATATGTTTCTCAGGTAAGCAGGTATAAATATACAGCTACTAGAAGTTTCTACCTCACAGAATCACAGATTTTAAACACTGGAAGAACTCCAGAGGTCATTTAGTCCTCCAACTCCTTAAAGCTTCTACTATAATCTAGAACTTTGGCCTCCACTTGATGCCAGGGATAAAGATTCTGTTTCCTAGAAGTCTTCCAAATGTTAGTGCTGGTTCTATAACTTCTAAGTTCTTTACATTCATGCCTCTAACTTCCTGTTTGCTGGCAAAACTGTCTTCGTTTGATTTAATAGTAATGCCATTTAAAAATGCAAATCTATAATAATCATTCAAAAATATTTAGAATATTTACAGCATTCAATTAGCCTGAGTTTCCTTTACCTGTGTGAAGCCCAATTGGGATGAAGAAAGGAGGAAGGGATGTTGTTTTCGAGCTGGGTGATAGTCAGTCTCAGAGTAGATATGGTAAGAACTTTGGACCCATGGACAGAACCATTCCATTTGAACTCTCCTGCTGGACTGAGACAGAATTTATGTGCAAGGTGCCTTCTCTTATCATGATCTTCTCTGTGCTGGTGTTTATTCAAAGCAAATGAATTGGTGGAGTACTGATTGTGGTAGACGCGATACTTCCCTTCTTGACCCAATTTAAAATAATTGTTGATATTTCCTTTCATGACCACTTCCTTTTTGGTGCTCAATCGTGAAATTTCTCCTTGTGAGTTAACTACCAGTACCTGACCAAGAAAATTAGGACTCCATTATTGATTTTGAAGATGTCAATTTTTTCTAATCAACTATCTTCCAATAACTGTAATTAGTCATTCCAAATAAGATACATTCTGACTAAACTTATGAAGTTTAAAATGTAACTCAAAAGCTACATCTTATTGTTTACAACTAAACAACCATGATATAACTATAAAAAGAAAAGTAACATTCATTAAGTACCTATTATATACCATACAATATCAAGTATAGGTTAAATATCCTTCATCCAAAATAGTTGGAACTGGAAGTGTTTCAGATTTTGGTTTGTTTTGGATTTCAGAATAGCTGTATATATGTAATAAAACTGTTGTATGGAATGGGACTCAAGTCTAAACATGAAATTTACTTTTGCTTCATATATACCATACACATATACGTGAATGTATGTATACCCGGAAGGCAGTTTTATACGGTATTTTTCTATTGCAGTGTTTTGACTACAACCCATCACATGAGGTAAAGTATGGAATTTCTCCATGTTTGGCACCATGCTCAAAAACTTTCAAATTTTGGAGTAGTTCATGTTTTCAGATTAGGGATGCTTAGCCTGTACTATATCATGTATGTCAAATATACGTATGTGTGGGGCTGACAGGTAGCATGGTGATTAAGTGCGCTGGGCTCCCACATGGCTGATTACGGCTTGAGTCCCGGGCCTGTGGCTTGCTTTCTCTCTCTTTCACTCTGTCTCTCTTTAGGCAATTTAAAATAAATAAATAAAGTTAAATAGAATAATTCTTTAAAAAAATATATACACACATATGTGTAAATCATTCACTTGTCATTATTTCCAGTTTAACATATACTTCAGGAGAAGAAGAGGGCATTACTTATGAAATCCTCTCCGCCCCTCACATATTCCTATGAACGCTGTTCCGAGTGCTTCTTTTATCATTAGTATGAGAGCCCATGGATACCTTTAAAATAGTGTTTGTTTTTATACACTTGATCTCAACCCTTTAGTAGACTAGAAATCAATAGTGGGTATTATTCTGCTTTCTTAAAAGTAAAATGTAATACAATAGTTTAGAATAGTAGGAAAAATATCAGAGTGCTTCCACGTAGTAAGATAAAATGCTATTTTAGGTACCTTTTGAATATGCGTACTGGGTTGCTATAAAAAAAAAGTATATCTCAGTGAGACTCAGAGTCAAAAAGAACTTTGAAAGCCACTGTGTAAAGCAACTGCTATAAGTAATTGTTAAGAACATAACACTGTACATTCTTACATAGATACCCTGCAAATAATCCCAAAATCTAGGAGACACAGTTGGGGGTCACTGTTCTATCACCGCAGCTGAGGTGTAGAGATCCTGAGTCCTAGCTTCAGTTCCACAGTTCGTAACCCGAGCTGGGAGGCAAGCCAGGCTATCCTGTCCACTATACTTTGTAATCACGGAGTAAGCCCCATCCTTTAGCTGCAGGTTCACATGAAGTGATCACAGATAGAACTGAGCAGTAAATTATCCATAGCCCTTTAATAAAGTCCAAAAATAGCCCATTCATTATCACTCCTGAAAAGGGTTTTATTCTCTTTTTTAAAGTTTAATTATTACTATTATTATTTAATTTGCTATACAGAACATGTGCTTATGGGGGGGAGGGGGTACTGGGATTCGAACCGTGGTCAGCCATGTGATAGTCCAGAGCCTTAACCACCACACCACGTGCCAGCTCAAGGCTTTACTCTTTTATTTTTTAAAGAGAGTTCTTCTAGAGGGCACATGCGCTTGCCACAGAGACAGAGAGACAGAAAGCAAGAAATCACCCCCCAGGGAGGATGGCCACACTGCAATCTCTTCTCCTCTTGGGATTTTGGACATGCACGCACACACACCTGGTGTGAGTTTTAAGGCACTGGGTCCAGGACTCGAACCACGGTCAACTACATGGGAGTCCAGCAATGTAATCATTACGCCATCTGCCCAGTTTTATTGTTTAGAATCATACAGATTAGAATAAAATTGACAGAAGTATATCTATATCCTGCTGACAGTATCATTTCTATGCACAGACCAGAATTTGTGCGCAGCTGTACTTATCATTAGATAAGCCTGACTTTTCATCTTGTGACATACTGCACTCTAAAATGGAGCAAATAAAAGTCAAAAGTAGGTTTACAGACTTTCTGCCCTGTTTTGAATATATGATAATTAAAATTATTCCACATTCCAGAGATTTGCTTTAACCAGAAAGAACACACCTCTTTGCCCTCCTTAAATAACTTGTTTGCTTCATGGGCTGCGGCCGCCACCTGCTGGCTCTTCAGCTGGCTCAGTTTGCTATCTGGATTCCGCAATCTGGTGATGATGCGCGTCGAGCCAGATGCTCCTCTTCCGGCTCCAGGAGACTCAGCTATTTCCCCATTTGACTTCTCCGATTTGAAATCACCTATTAGCAATGAAAAGGCCCCAAAGTAATTACTGACAGTAAGTAATTGTAATTTAACACTGTCTAAAACTCTTATCCGATATATATATCTAAGATCAACAAAATAAACCAATGAAGTCCTTGAATAACCAAAGCAAATGTCAATTATTTTGTTTTTGAGAGGTTTTTGCTATAGGGCCCATGCGCTCGCCAGAAAGACAGAGAGATAGAGAGAAATCAGGAACCCGCAGTTAGCGTAATGGCTATGTCGCTGGACTCCCACGTAGTCGACTGCGGTTCGCGTCCCGGACTCGGTGGCTTAAAACTCATGCCAGGTGCGTGTGCGTGCGTGCCCGAGATCCCGAGAGGAGAATGGAGGAGAAGGGATTGCGGCGTGACTATCCCCTCTGGGGGGTGATTTCTCACTTTCTGTCTCTATGTCTCTCTCTGTCTGTCTGGAGAGTGCACACGCCCTATAGCAAAAACCTCTCCAATAAATAAATAAATAAATAAATAAAAGGAAGAGAGAAATCACCCCCTGAGGGGGATAGCCATGCCGCAATCCCTTCTCCTCCATTCTCTTCTTGGGATCTTGTGTACGCATGCACACGTGCCTGGCATGAGTTTAAGTCACCAGGTTCGGGACTCGAACCATGGTCGACTATGAGGGAGTGCAGCAACATAGCCATATACCAACTGCTGGTCCTGTTGTTAATTCTTAAGTTTGTAAAAAGTATGCCAAAACTCTAGTGTGAGTAACTATTATTCTTTTGAAAATTCAAACATATGGTGCTAGTAGGTGGCATGATGATTAAGGTACTGGACTCCCACATGGCTGACCACAGTTAAAGTCCTGGACCTGGCAGCTTAAAAATCACTCTGGGCATGCATGTGAGTATGCCCAAAATCCCAAGAGGAAAATGGAGAAGGGACTGTGATGTGGTCATCCTCCCTGGTGGGGTGTTTTCTCACGTTTACTCTGTCTTTTCTCTATCTGTCTCTGGTGAGCACACACACCCTATGTCAAAAACCTGAAGAAGAAAAAAAAAAAAGGGGAAGGAAAAATCAAACATACTAAAGCCTATCAGAAAACAGGAGGGGATGTTAAAATTAACAAGTAATAAACACAGTAACTCAGAGTGCACACTGACAAAACATTTTCCTATATATTAGATTTCTGCATAAAAAGAATACAATTAATTTTAGAAAGATTTCCACTGAAATTCTGTTTAAAGATATAACAGTATTTTTAAAAATAATTATTTATTTTATTTTATTTATTATTATTTTTTAATCCAATTAGAACAGGGAGGTGAGCCGCTAGGTCTAGGACTCGAATCACGGTCGGCCATGCAAGTGTCCAGCACCTAAACTACCACATCATCTGCTAGACCCAAGACTGAACGGTTTTAAGTTTACAAAAATAAATGCCAAGCAATCAATCAATCAGTGCGAGTAAATTTTCCTTTAAGAAAGCAAGATAATTAGCTATGTAGGCTTCTTAATGTAAAAATCAACTAAACTACTTGTTTTAACATAATAAAGCCATCTAAACATTTTTGTAATAACTTGATTTTTTAAAGTGACTGATTGGACTGGGCAGGTTACATGGTGGTTAAAGGAACTGGACACCCACATGACCAAACATGGTTCAAATCCTAGACCTGGCGGCTTGTTCTCTCTCTCTCTCTGGTCAAAATTGAAAAATAATGATAATAAATGAATAATTCTTTTAAAAAAAAATAGAGCAATAAAGTGAACTGTGCAGGAGCCATTTCTGTTTTATATTACCCATCAATCTCATTTTAGCTAAACATTTCTATATATTCTAAAACTATTATATCCTTATCTAATTTCTATGGGCCAGAGTTGAAGATCTAATTACTTTTTAATTCTATTTTTGGTTTTGTTTTTAATTTAAAGCTTTAAAAAAATGAGCCATCTGGTGGCATGGTGGTTAAGGTGGCTAGATCCCACATGGTCAGCTGCACGAGTCGAGTCCTAAACCTTGTAGCTTGAGAAACACAGAGAAATGTATGTATATATGCCCAAAATCCCAAGAGAAGAATGGAGAAGGGACTGTGGCATGACTATCCCTACTGGAGAGCTCTCTCTACGCGAGAGATGTTTCTTTCTTTCTCTCTCTCTCTCTCTCTCTCTCTCTCTCCCCCCTTCTCTCTCCTTTCCCTCTCTCCCACCCTCCCTCCCTCTCTCTCCAGAGAGTACATGTACCCTACAGCAAAAAATTTTAAAAATAATAAAATAAAGAAGACAGTGTGGTGTTGGCAAAAGAAAGAACAGAAAATATTGTTATACACTGTAAAGATGGCATTTTAAATAAATAGAAAAGGTTGGGAAAACTGGCTATGCATTTTAGAAAAATACATAAATAAATGTCAAGACAGTTGAGCAAACATTCATTGCTTTTATCTATTCCAGTCCTCTTTTACCTTTGGTGAGATGTTTTTCTCCCACTTTAACCATATGATTCTGCGATGGCTGCGAATGAAATATCCTGCTCCTTTGGGGTGGGCAACAGGACCAGCACAGCCAGAAAGAGCATATCATCAGTTGATCACAGTCACTGTCCAGACCTAGCCCATGCCACTCAGCCCCCTATTCCAGTATTTTGACTCTGGAGGTGGAGAAAGCACTTCGCCTTTTTTTATTGGTGAGCAGCAAGAGGATAAATTAGGAGTTGGCTACTTTTACTCCCACAAGAACAAGAAAACTGCCAGTAACAGAAAACAGTAAGGCCATCACACAGAAAGAAAAGGGAATATATGAGAGGAAGAAGCAAGAGGAAGACCTGAAAATCTATTTGACTCCCTGGATCCAATAAAGCACCTGAAACTCACCAACACTTCCCAACTGCATGATCCCAAAAACTCCCTATTCTGTTTTGAGCGAGTTTCCTGGTTTTCTGTCATAGGCAATAATAAGAAGAGTAGTTTAAGACTGAGACTACAGGGACCAGCAGTTGGTGTAATGGCTATGTTGCTGGACTCCCACGTAGTTGACCGCGGTTCGGGTCCCGTACCTGGTGGCTTAAACTCACGTCAGGCACATGTGCGAGCGTGTGTGCCCAAGATCCTGAGAAGAATGGAGAAGGGATTGTGGCATGGCCATCTCTCCCCTGGGGGGTGATTTCTCGCTTTCTGTCTGTCTCTGTCTTTCTGGCGAGCGCACATGCCCTATAGCAAAAACCTCTCCCCCCAAAAAAACACGCTCCCCAAAAAAAAAAAAAGAAAAAAACATTGAGACTACAAAATACAAAATATGGCAGGGCCTGAAACAAGATCAAGTGGGAGCACTGGGCATCCTGTGTGCCAGGTTGGAAAGCTGGTGACCTTTTCTGTGCTGGTAGAGAAGAAGCTGGCCAGACGATTATTTTTTCATGGGTCTCAGTTCATGATTCTATCCATGCTGGAGTTTTATGCCCTATGGTGGTTACTTCTTGGGACCAGCTGTAAAATTCCATAATAAAAATTTAACAGAGGGGCTGCCAGGTGGTGCAGTGGTTAAGGGCGCTGGACTCCCACATGGCTGACCGTGGTTCAAGTCCTGGACCTGGCAGATTGCTTTCTCACTTTCTCTCTCTTTGGTCAAACTTAAAAATTAATTAATTAATTAATTAACTCTAAAAAACAAAAACAAAGTTTTAACAGATACCATTTGGACCAGGTTGGATTTTCTGAAAACAGAAGTGGAATGGCACAGTGCTTTTTACAAGAAATCCCCCAATTTAGAGGCAACGAACCACTATTACTCAGTCAGTGCTTTGCCACTTGCTGAGGGTTGTACAAATAAGAAAGGGGACAAAATTCATGCCCATACTAAGACCTAAAGGAGCAGAGACAGCAACCAAGGTTGAAAGCAGAGGTCCTTACTGAGCAACCTCTGCCCACGGGCCCATAATCCTTCTGCTATAAAGAAGTCAATGGGGAACCAGCAGTTAGCGTAATGTCTATGTTGCTGGACTCCCACGTAGTCGACTGTGGTTTGCGTCCCAGACCCCGTGGCTTAAATCTCACGCCGGGTGTGTGTGCGTGTGTGCCCAAGATCCTAAGAGGAGAATGGAGGAGAAGGGATTGTGGCATGACCGTCCCCCCTGGGGGGTGATTTCTCGCTTTCTGTCTCTATGTCTCTCTCTTTCTGTCTGGTGAGCACATGCACCTTATAGCGAAAATCTCTCCAAAAAATAAAAATAAATAAATAAATAGAAGTCAATGACCGTGAGGTGGCCTTGAGGCAGAGTACAGATGTGCTCTTCCCCAGCCTCCATAGCTCACTGTCTAGGAGGTCTGGAGACATAAGCCCAGACAGACTACATTCACCTGTGGGATGAGGCTGGTGGCCTGCTAACCACACAAACCGGGGGAGGCAGGAGTCCACTTTCAGGACCCTGGATACAAGTTACTGAACATCAGGCACTCGCTGGGCAACTAGAAATTTCTTGTCAGGAAAAACTCCAAGCCTGCCAAATTGGGATGTATGACTGTTCAATCCTTCAGCATTCCCCAGCAACCCATCCCTACAAACAGCCAGCAGGAACTAGATTGCTGAGTATTGCCTCCAGAAGGGGACCTTACTCATATGCTTCTCACCTCTCATATATGGCCATCCTCCCAGAAAACCATGATGGCTGGCGAGATTGATCAAAAAAACGCTCTCCACTATCAGGATAGTGAGTGTTATAGGCAGTTAAAGTCAATTTAGATGATGGACTATGAGCTCAAGCCATATCCAGATCTTTCAAAATTAATGAACACACAGAAATTCCAGATTCGGGTCTAGATACAATTATTTATTTATTTTGGGAGAGGTTTTTGCTACAGGGCGTGTGTGCTCATCGGAAAGACAGAGACAGAGAGACAGAAAGAGAGAAATCCCTCCCTGGGGGGGATGGCCATACCGCAATCCCTTCTCCTCCATTCTCCTCTCGGGATCTTGGGCACACACACACATGCACCTGGCGTGAGTTTAAGCCACAGGGTCAGGGACTCAAACTGCGGTCGACT